CATTAGCCCTCTGACTCTTTGTTTCCATTAGAGACCGAAGAACTTTCTTCATTTACATCCCAGATATTACTGGATGGGCACATTACTCCCTTTGAATGCTGCAAGGTCCTTGAAACGTGATGCTGGAAATGAGCTTGATGCTTGGCAAAAAAAAACAGAGGGACGAGAGAGTTATTAGGCAGAGAGTTATTACCATCTGGAATGCACTGCCTGAAAGACTGGCGGAAACAAATTCAGTAACAACTTTCAAAAGGGAATTGGATAGGCACTTGAAAACAGAAACATTTGCAAGGATATGGGGAGAGAGCGGGGGAGTGGGACTGATTGGGTAGCTCTTCCAAATAGCCGGCACAGGCACGATGGGCTGAACGCCTCCTTCTGTGCTGTAATATTCTATGATTCTATGAAATTGCCATCCATTACAGGTACCACACTGATGTGATGTGGTCAGAGACTGAATGTATTCAACATATTTGAATAATAGGACCCAAGATTCTCTGTCTCGGTAACTTAAACTAATTTAATCTAGTTTGTCTCAAACAAAGTGATGAAAACTTTTAGGGTTTATGGGTTTTCAGATCTCTTAGCATTTGCCAATCCAAAAATCCATAAAATACATTAAAATAAAATATATGTGGTCTGAGAACTTACGATTAAAAAAGCACTACTTTTTTCGTTTGCCTGGTAACATTCTCATTTCCAGAAATATTTGATCGATTCAAAAGTCACATTGTGGGATGTACTTTCTAAACTGCTACAGAACAACTCTTTGCTAATATGCTTTTGTTTTTATATTAAAAAAAGGAATGTAATGCAGCAATGTGATTTATAGTTTTGGAAAGTTGCACAATCACTTAAAATATTCCTCTCCAGCTAAAAGTTTATGGGCACAATTTAATATTTTATAAGTATATGTTTTGCTAAGAAACTCCAATGTGACAAGGATACATTAATATATGTTTAACCAAAATTGAATTTAATACATAGCCGTGTACATAACTTTGCTAACAGATAATTCCTAAATCTGCATTACTACCGAAGGCCGATGAATTTGTGAAAAATAAATATATAGCACTTTATTTACATCTCATAACTTATCTATAATTCCAGCCAGATCTCAACCCCAAAAGACAATAGTGCATTGGCTTAATATCACTAAGGAAGAATGCATTTTTATTCCAGAACGCACACAACTCTGGCCCAAGTCCTGTAGCTCAGTGGTTAGAGTACTCACCGTGCAAGCGAGAGGACCTGGGCGTCATTCCCGGGAGGGTCAAACGTCCTTACTCCACACCTCTATTTATCGTGCAGTAAGTAGGAACTTGGTTGTTAGTCGATCGGTGGATTGCTTTCTGCGGGTAATAATCCCTTCAAAATAAAATATATGTAACTTTTTTAAAAAATAAATAATAATTTGGTCACTCAATCCAGGACTATTTGTGGGACGCTGCTGTGCGCAATTGGTTGTCGTGTTTCGCCCACAAAATATACAGTCAATCCACTCTGCAGCATATTCTGTGAAGTGCTTTGAGACATCTCAAAGACGTGATGAGGCGCTATATCAACTGCAACAATTATTATTATACCATTTTTATTCACTGCTGTAAAAGTACAGATTTGTTTCCCTCGTTCCAAAACTTGGCACTTGTAAGGGAACGCTTCAGTTCTGAAAGCACAATGAAAATCACAAAGGGTCAAGAGTTTGACATAGTTCCACATCATATAAGAAAATATCTTGTAGTCAAAGAGAATACCTAAGGGATAGGGCAGGATAGCTTGGGAGGTTATTTGATGAAATGCATTAGCTTCCCTTGAGTACATTTCCCAAATGGCCATTCTTCTTGTGTAAGCTTAGACTGAGAATGTTGGCAGGTTTGGCAAACAGTATGGGCTTCAGAACCTAGTCCAATTCTGCCTTCAACATAAGCCTGTGCATTTTCCAGAATAGGGTCATTGGAGAATGATCTGTGGGAGTTCTGGCTGATTTTCCCACTCCTTCATCTGGTTGGGCGAGTGCCAAGCTTATTCTGGATCCCACGTGCCTGGACAATCCACTTGAAATGCTGATGGTTGAAGCTGAGCTATACCTGTGAAAGACAGTGAGGCATTTTAGCACCATCGCTAATAGCATATTAAAAAAAAGCCAATTAAGAGGTAACTAATGCACCGTATCATAAAATGATAAATTACACGTTTTTACTCTATAATGCTCCACATACTACGGTATCTTACATGATACACTATTAGTATCGTTAACTGATAACGCTCCCTTATTGCAGATCACGTATATTTTCAGTGTAATGGACAAATTAGGGATACGGAAAGATAGGACTTTAAATCTATTGAACATAATGGTTCCCTTGGGCACACTGCCTGCTCTACCTTCCCTCAGGAGATCACAGTACTGTAAATCTCATTATTTCTGTGATAAACATATTTCTCTGCTGCTCTCAAAAGCCCTAACTGCTGCAAAAAAAAACACAAAAATCTCCATTTTGAGAAATAAAGGGAACAACTACAGAAACTTGACCTGAATGTAAAACATTTCCTGCACTTGTATGTCTTAAAAATTTGATTAAATAAATCATTTTCAATCTCCCTTAATCCAAAAGACAGTGTCTTATCCACAATTGCACCAATGCTATTTTTTTAAGCAAAACATGTTTTCTAATCCAAGTGGCACACAAAGCAGTGCAGCTATCAAATGACACAGCATCTTTGTCTGGCCACAGCACTGAAACTTGAAGGACAAGCAATTAATTTGGAGGCATAAAAATAACACATTCTGGTGTGGAAATATTATCTGCCTTCTTCCTTCTAGTAGAGGGAGAATGTGATCCAACACCAATATCCCAGCTGGCTGCCCAATGTTTGTTACCGCCTCCATTTTAACATGCACAATGCTTATCTGAAATTGACAAATATGCCATCGTGAAAATACCGCAGGCTGGAATGCCCTGCACATCAGAGAATGTAAACTTTTTTTTCCCAAGCTTTGACATTGGGAGCGAAGGTTGAGGTTATAATAATTCTGCCATTTGATATAGCACCTTATCGCGTCTTCGAGACATCTCAAAACGCTTCACAGAACATACTGTAAAATGAATTGACTGCATATTTTGTGGACCCTAAGACATGGTAATAAAGGTGATATAATTTATTCTTGCCAGTGAAGGATATAAATTGAAGTGAAGTTAAAACTGCAAAGGTGATCAAGTATTACCCAAATAAAAGAGCAGAGTGAATACACACATCGAATACATGAAGGAATGTCAGCAAAATTCCATGCATGCTATGGAATTCTCAGACACAGATCGTAAACTCAAACGCTATAGCTAGCAAAGAGGAAAGTAGTATATCATAAATGAAGGTTCAAAGCACATCAGCGTGTGGGCAGAAGAGGGTGGTTCAGGAGCAGAGAGAGAATAGAAGCCACATAGTGTGTGGCAGACACGAGCCCTGTTATTGGATCGATTTCAGTTGGGCACTATTATTTTCATTGGGCACATTGACAACCACTGAACTGCTCTATGATATCTGACAAAGGGTTGTGGACCCGAAACGTTGACTCACTTTCTTTCTCCATAGATGCTGCCTGACCTGCTGAGCGTTCCCAGCCACTTCTGTTTTTGTTATTCTTTGATATCCCTGTTTCATGTTTGCAACGCATTGTGTGTGGATCTCTTGTCTGGCTGGGTTTGTGCAATTGACCCTATAATGTAAGGTGAAATTAAAATTTGACAGGCTGCAAGATGTACTGAAATGAACAGTGGTTTATTACTTTGTGTGGTGCTGGCTCTGTCAAGGTTTGATGGGGTCTGTTTGCTCCATTCGACCCCGTGGGTCGTAAACATCTCCATCCTGATTCTATGTGTCCCACTTGACGTTCACCTAAATTGAAATGAGAATTACTGAAGAAAGGCTGCACAGCCAACTGGTCATCAGTGACGGTCAAATTCAGGCAACTGTCTCCAGTGCTGTAGTTACATCGGTAATGCTCTCAGAGGAATCACCTACGCTTACAAATGCAGACCCAATTGATGGCGGTGGAGTCATACATACTGCAAGAGGAGACCATTCCAATAGAGAAGGGAGTTCCTCTTGGTGTGCCCAGCCAACAATCCTTCAGAAAAATTTGGTCTTTCACTTCATAGCTGTTTTTTGGGGCATTGCTGTGCAAATTGGGTGCTTCGTTTGCCTACAGAAATTGCACACTCACTACATTTTGCATATTTTGGTTCTGTATATCCCGTGACGTGACAATAATAATAATAATCCTTGCATTTGATACAGCACCTTGTCACGTTTTCGAGACGTCTCAAAGCGCTTCACACGATAGACTGTAATGTGAATTGATTGTATATTTTGTGGGAGATAATAATAGTGACAGAGAGAGAGAGAGAGTGGTGGTGGGGGTCAGGTGGGAGGGAACAACACACTGAAAACTAGTTCATGGCTTGATTGCAACTGTCATTGACTCAGTCTCTTCCATCAGATGTGTAGTTATGCTATTAAGAAGTAATGAAATACTTCGGTAGGATGTCTCAAAGCGCTTCACAGTATTCAGTGTGAAATTGATTTATAATAATAATAATAATCCTTGCATTTAATACAGTGCCTCATTACGTCTTGGAGACGTCTCAAAGCGCACGGCAGAATACACTGTAAATTGTAGTGACTGTGTATTTTGTATTCGTAGGCAAAAGGAAGAGAGCACTAATAAATAAGCGTCGACATGATTTCATTTTTTTTGGAAAAATATTTCTCCCCTCCCTTCCTCTCTCCCTCCCTCCCTCCCTCCTCTGACTACCTTAAATAAGATGAGCAATTTGCTTGGCTGGGTTTACAGTGGCTGCAATTCAGCAATATAGCAGTACAGACAGTACTGTTCGAGCTGTGGCATTCGTGTACACGTTAGCAGGACCAGCACTGCTTTAAGAGGGTTTTATTGAGCTGTAACTGTGGATGAGCATCACCTGGCTGCATGCACAGCCACTGTACGGATGCAAGTCTCCCATCCCTCACCTGATTTATTCGAGGGTTGCAAAGCCTTGGAATTGGTTTGGGGGCAAAATCAAGGAGGCTGCAGACATGCTGAACAGCTGGAGGTTGCAAAGCTGGACTTGCTGAACCGACTGTCTGCCCACACCACATCCAATCTACAGCTGGAGTCCAGGGGTGGGTTGGATGCTGCTGTTTGTCACTGTCTGCAAACCAACCTCCTCTGCATCTGCTCTGCATCTGCATCTGCATCTGCTCTGGGTACCTTGCAACTGGCCAAAGTCCATCCTTTCCTTCCTTGGATGGGATTTACATCTGAGTCACTTGAACAATTGCAAACCCAGGCATGCAGTTGTCACCAAAGGACTCCCACAAGAGGAACATGAGAGACCTGGCTGTTGAGATCGGTGTGAGAGTTTTCCTCTTTGGAGTTTTCGTGTAAGTGGAAACCTTGTGCTCAACAAAACCCCCCAAAAAAATCCTCATTGCATTTCACCAGTTTTGCTCTTTGTGTGTGTGTGTGTGTGCAAAAAAAAAACCTCAACCCCCACCTCCCACCAAAAAAAAACCCCCCACCAACAAGTCCTGATGTTAACCCTGGCATTTCATTCTAAAACCACACAAATATCATCATTTCTTTTAAGACTTCTTAGATCATTGGTAATGACACCAGGACTTTTTGGTCATCCTGTGTATTTTGTGTGTGTGTGTGTGTTTTTTTAAACATTTTTATTTCATTCTCCCCCTCTCTCCCCCCCAAAAAAAATTTTTTCCCTGTTGTGTTTATTATTTTCTGGTTGGGAAAAAAATATTTCTGCATTTAGCTCCATCACTTCTCTTAAATCTTGTCCATCTTCTCTCTCTCTCTCTCTTTCTCTCTCCCTCTCTATAGCCCATTTATTTTGTTTCCCTCAATGATTGTGATCATTAATAGTTTTTTTTTGCTGTTGTTGTCGGTCTCTCAGTTCACACACCTTTTTCACACATCCTTTTCCTTAACATTCTCGTTAAGTGTAGACCCTTTGTTTCACTCACCAAACTCAACAACTCGTTCATTAACGCTTTGATGCCTCACCAGATTCCACCAGTATCTCTCTCTCTGTCTCTCTACCCCCTCCTCACTCCCTCCCTTCCCTCCCCTCACCATTTCCCCCCCAATGCTCGGGTCCTGACCCAACTGTCCGGCGCCTTGGGACGTCCTCCCGACGTGAAAGGCGCTCTATAAATGGAAACTTGTTGTTGTTGTTGTTGTCTATTTATCTATCTATCTATCTTCAGTGTGAGATTTTGAATGAATCAAAAGATCCATAGTTGTAAATCACACACAAAAGAAACGGTGTCTGATGCTACAACCTGCAAAGGTATCCTGAAACTGTTTACACAGCCCTCATCATTCAGCCATTTCAATCATTCATTCATCCAAATGTATTGAAAGGATCAGATGCCATCTCTGTCTGCATTTTCAGCTTCTACCCTATTTGACAAGATCATTCTTGCTGATACATTACCCACTGTAAAATTATTTAGAAATAATATGGAGGTTTAGTGACCCTGGATTACTTTCTGTTGTCTTTTGTTTTGCACAAAAACCCTCCATTGATTGTAAGCTTAATAACTGTGTCGGTAAATTTTATTTCCTCTGCTATCTCCAATGACATTTAAGCCACCATGTTTCAGGATGGCATTTACACAGGCGATAGATGCAGGGCTTCCAGGAACAAGCTGTTGGCTTGCTTCTATCTAATAAATTGCCCCAGTTTGTGTCTGGAATCACCTGGGAGATACGAATAGCAATAGCCTGGCTTTCTCGCTGTGCTCCCAGCCACATTAATTTACTGCCTTGGAAGTTTCCAGTTACAATGTCATTTCAGACCACGATAAAGTTTTAGCCTTGTGCGTCAGATCCGTTGATCAGCAGCCAATCTTCAGTCAAAAAAAAGGGCACTCATTTAACGAAGATATTATGCTTCGTGTATTCATCTCTACACTCCCAAGTGCTTTTTTCTAAGCAAAGATAACTCCAAGTCTGGTGTTACACAACAGCTTACTTACCCATCATGTCCATTTAGTGTGTAGCATTGCTGCTCCCTCATCAGGTATAGAGTAGAATGCAATTAGAGTAGCTTCATAGTGCAGATAAAGTGCACTTACCCTTAAGCATCCCACTGCAAGAAGAGCAGATACAGCGAGTGCCAGGAATACAGAGTAAATACAGCTTCTGTGAGGATGGTTATAAAAAAAGGTAATTTAACGTTGGCCATCCCTTCTGCTGGGGAATTCCTTTTACTGGCAGAGGCTGTTCTGTACAAGAGAAATTCGATGTTGTATGCATCATCGTGCATTTGAGTGCCACTTCATGCAGCATCTTTTTGCCCACAAAATACGGTGTGACAAAGGAGCTTGATAAGGGTAAGGCTGTGGATGTTATAAATCTGGATTTCAGTAAGGCCTTTGATACAGTTCCTTTTGAGAGGTTGCACTAAAAGTAAAGAAAGCGGGAATCAGTGGTGGTATAATACAATGGATATGTAACTGGTTGACCGGAAGAACCCAGAGGGTGGTGGTACAGGGAATGTCATCAAACTGGGAAAATATTATCAATGGAGTTCCACAAGGGTCTGTTTTGGGACCTGTTTTGTTTAATATTTTTATAAATGATCTGGAACTAGGAGTCGCAAGCACAGTGGCTAAGTTTTCAGACGACACCAAGCTAATGAAGGTGGTAGATTGCGAAGCTGAACAAGATAGGTTACAGGAGGATTTGAACATACTTCGGAATTGGGCAGATCGGTGGCAGATGAAATTCAATGTGGAGAAATGTAAAGTACTTTGCATGGTGACAAAAATTCCTGGAAGGGACTATTATTTGAATGGAAGGAAAATAATATGTATGGAAAATGAAAAGGACCTTGGGGTCCTGATTGACAATAAATTGAAGCTCTCCCAACAATGCTCTGTGGCAGAGAGTAAAGCAAACCAGATGTTGGGATGTATCAAAAGATCAATAGCAAAGCGAAATAGTGGAGTAATCCTGCCACTGTATAAATCATTGGTGAGATCATACTTAGAGTACTGTGTACAGTTCTGGTCCCCGCAATACAGAAAGGTTATTGGAGAAATCGAGAAGATACAGAGGAGGCAATCAAAATGATTGAGGGACTGGAGGGACTGGATAATGAGGAGCGACTAAGTAAATTGGGCAGATTCACGCTGGAAGAGAGAAGATTTTACAGACTCCGGAGGGAGACAGTTGAAGCAGGAAATGTTGATTCTTTCAAACACAGATTAGATAATATTCTTTTAGGAAATAACATTATAGGATACAGTACATAGGTAGTTCGGGACATATGTGCATGCGACCACCAGGAAGGTGGAAGGCAAACTGGATGGACCTTTGTCTTTTTTTATCTAGCATTTCTTATGTTCTTATGTATGTTCTTATTAAAATACAGTCAATTCATTTTACAGTATATTCTGTGAAGCGATTTGAGACGTCTCAAAGATTTGATAAGGCGCTATATCAAATGCAAGGATTATTATTATTAATATCCATGCAAAATTTGGGAATGTTTTCCACATCACAGTGACGTTACCTGATAGTTGACACTGGCTCTTTGCTCTTATGGCTCATCACAAAATAAAGTCATTTAATCCAGCCCAGAAAAGTAAACCCCCCAATTGTGATAAGTAGAATATATTTGAGATTTTTCCCTGAAACATTGTTCAATGAAATAACTATCTCTGTCCGTAAGTCAGCTGCTCCTGTTATCTACTGTAATTTTTATAAGTGGGTATAAAGAAAAATATTTCAGGGAAAGGCAATGATGTTTTCATTTCTTTCGTATACACCTAGAGAAACATTCTCAGAACGTTTGTACAGCACAAGATGTCATAACGTCCGTGTGGTTCCCCTATCTTAAATATAGTACAAAAACTCACCAATAAGGTAAGGAAACAAACTGGGGAGTTTTGAGCACATTTGGGGGTTGACCTCACTACTGTACTATATAGTACATTATAATGTTGGGATGAAAAAGACTTTTAAAAAAAAAACTGACCACATTAGCAAGTTGACCACACTGGTTGGGGTGCCCTTAAGGTGCTTTTTCCCTTGTGCTGATACTTCTACACTGATGGTATCTCAATGGTTCAATAAGTCCTTTATTGAAACAAAACCTCCTGAAAATATATCTCTCTTCAACCGTGCCTTTGGTCAATGTCTTTCGTCTCCCGTCGCACAGCTTTGCGTGCTACATTCTTCAAGTGCCTCAAGATGTTCCTACATGCAAAGCACTCTTTTTCTTTTTGTCAGCCAGGTGTCTGACAAGTACTGAGATCCCTCACATTGCTAACGAGTACCTAAACCAAGCTGAGGGTTCCACATATGCATGCCATACAAACATGGAAATTTCCCTGTGTCTGGAATGGAAATGTGCACTCTCTCCCTGAAGCGGGTCACCCTGCTTATCTGGCTCCAGACAGCATCAGAGGCAGGTTGGCAGGTGCCAATGCTTGAGGACCCCAGAGTGTGTGTTGGGTTAACTGCTGGAGTTTAGACAGCTAAAAACGCATAGCTCGCCATCGAAAGCACCGTCAGTTGGACATTCTATATAAATGCAAGTCGGTGTGATCAGGTTCGTTGGTAAAAAACAAATGAAAAATTCTGCTTTTTGTTTCCAAGAAAGACTTCCTATGATTATGCAGTATTAAATAAAATATTGAATTTATCCGCGTCCCTTTGTGGTTGGTAAGTCAGCCTGACTCATTCATTCCAGACAGACATTTGAGTCCTGTAGTTAAAGCTAAGAAAAAAGGATAAATCACTGCTGTTTTTAATTCGGCAAAATGTCAGAGCAAATTATGAAAACCATCGCCGTTTGTGCTGAAATAACCCAGTCCTGTTGTCCTCAAAGTAGTATAGTACACACCAGTGGTGCATATTAAAGAAGCAACTGCAAATATCTGGCTGCTATTTGTAAAACGTACATTATTAATTTATAGCTATTTTTGTAATTTTATGGTCTCAAGGGACTGTTGCTATGTATTAAGATGGAGGAAAAATCATGTTTCAGTGTCAACTATCAGTTTCGAAGCATAGGTTATGAATCTGTTTGCTCATCAGTTGTAGCATTTTATTTACCAACCTCGTTACGTTAAAAGAACTGTTGGACACCAACACATTTGTAAAGGCCTTTCACGTCGGTAGGACATCCCAAGGCACTGAACAGTTGGGGATCAGGACCCAAGTGTGGGTAGGTGTGGGGGGGGGAGTGTGGTGGGGAGGGGGGCAGGGTTGGGATGAGGGAGGGCAGAGAGGGAGGTAGGAGAGCGGTTGAAGGCACGGTTGAAGGAAACTTCTGTAGTAGAAAAAAAAACATGCAAACATTGCCATTAATTATGTTTTGACCTGAAAATATACGTTTTAGGGACTGAATTTT